TATATATATATGTGTGTGTGTGTGTGTGTGTGTGTGTGTGTGTGTGTGTGTGTGTAGAATTTAAGTAATTAAAAAAATATTTTTTACTTCGCCTCAATCGCTTTTTTACTTTTTTTTTTAATTTTTCGCTTCTTTTTATCTTCTCTTTTTGCGACACATCAATAATGTGCCGCGTCACACCTGTTGAAAAATCCTGCATTAATATGATTGCGTTAATATGTATGAATTAATATGATGTTCGCTCTTTGTAACGTGAATGTTTTGTACTTTTCATCTTTCCTTCTTCCCTCTCTTTGATGTGTTAATTATATACATATTTTATTCTATTTGCAAAAAGAATAAGAAGACACAATGCAGTTACAAACAATAGATCTATTGATGATTGATACTATCGTGTCATTCACGGCAATTCACGCGATACTCTCGTCCAGTAAAGAGTCAGGAGAGTTAATGATTTCATAATGTTAATTCTGATAGACTTATTATCATAAAAGATAATACATATCCCAGACGACACGTATGTTTAAAATTAGGACATATATCTTAAAAATGATATTAGACTTATTATAAATAACAAAGTCAAAAATTAGAACATAAGACGTCTTGTAGATGGTTTTCACAAATACATGGTTAAAACATTATTTAGATATCTTCAAAATGCCTTATGTTCTAATTTTAGATTTTGTGTTGTCTGGATATTTAATACATACATTAGACTTATATACTTTTGAAAATTTTGTAAAAATATTATATATACGATAAAAATTTGAAAAAATGCAGACTGCGAAAAATTTGGCTCAATTTTTCCTTGATAAAGATATCTAAGTGCTAATACTGCTAATTAAAAATTTACTAATAACGACAAGCTCTCGTCTCGTTTCTTCCGAAGAGTAATATTTTATATCGTACATTCTTTAAATTTGATTTCTCTGCACATCGAGATTCTAGTTTACAGACATCGAGCTGTACGATATCGCGTTACTAAAAATTTGCAGCAAACGGACTTGCAGTGTTGCAGATTTCTATCTCGCGAGTTATACTCGTATCTTTCATTCCTGCATTTTGCAATATTACACTGCAAATAAGCGCGACGCCGTAACTGTTTCGTGCCGTGAACGTTCACCCCACGAGAGTTCTCCGCGCTCTTATGCGACCCCGCGTTGATCGAACGCATTAAATCAGCGCGCCGATTCTCGCCCGCCGATCGCGAGAACCGTTCGCGCGGCGATCTCGCGGACGCGAGTCGCGTGTGGAGCGGCGCGTCTCGGCGCGCAGCGTCTCGCGGTGATTCTCACGTCATTCGCGAGTCGCGGCGCGTGCCGCCGCGTACGAATAAGGTTCATATTTCCCCGTGAGAACGCGATCGGGGCGATGCGCGCGCGCACGCAGTACCGGGAGGCTGGCGGCGGTGTACTAAAAAGCGCGTCTCCCGCGTTCCGAAGCGAGCCCTCTCGCTCCGCCGAGAGCCGCGCATCACCCTCGACATTGGCGCGATGCGAATCGAAACGCGCGAACGCTCGTCGCAAGCGTTTGAAGGCTCCGCGCGGAAGATACTTCGCGCGCGGTACATCTTCGGAAAACTCTTGCTTCCACGAGAAAACTTTTTTTTTGCGTTGTCAATATGTTGACTAAAAGACGCGTATCAAAAGAACAGAAAAAAATTGATTGATGCGAAATTGTATACGAGCGACGTACGCGACATAAAATAAAAATATTATACATAAATACAATATTATCATCAGAACGCTATTTCTTATTTTCCTTTTTCTTTTAAAGACCTTTACCAAAAAAAAGGTTGTATAATGCTTGTTATATATGTGATAATGTATTAATTCTCAGCTGTGCAATGAGCTGTAAAACGCTCTACGCCAATGACGCCGCACGTCCGTTTCGTCAGTGCTGCGCAACCTTCTCGTCATTATCATGGCATTATCATTTACGCGCAACCAATTCGTATGTGTGATCACGTATATGTGCTACTTAAATATGAACGAACCGCTGTGACGATTGGAGTCAATAATAGAGCTTCTGGTCGCATTTCTATATTCCAATATTTGATCTATTTTCTATGATATATATTTGTAAAATGTGATCGAAAATTTTCGAAAAATAGCCTGTACTTTAAATAAAATAGTATTAAACATTTTTGTAATTTTTTAAATATCTTCTTTTTACTTTATATAGAAAATATTAAGATTGGATTTTGTTTTTTAATTGTTAAATTAGTAATTACTGCATCTTTTTCGAAAATGTTTATGTGCTTCTTTTTATCTGTTTTTACATCCGTTTCCGATAAAATTAATCAATGTAGATTAAAATTAAAATAAAATTTAAAGTCAAGGCTCCAATTATTTCAATATTAATAAAAGAAGTGAAAAAGGGCCAACGAGCCAAAGCTTGGGTGTTGTATCGCTCCAAAATATATATTTATTAATTTCACAATTTCATGACGATTTGAAGAACAGACGATTTATTGTAATGGTTTTAATTTATGTTAGGTATTAATTAATTTATAGAACATTGAAAATGATTCGTTCGGGGTCGAAACGTCTGTTCTTCAAATCGTCATGAAATTGTGAAATTAATAAATATATATTTTGGAGCGATACAACACCCAAGCTTTGGCTCGTTGGCCCTTTTTCACTTCTTTTATTAACAATGTAGATTAATTTTAATCTCGGTTTAATTTACTTTTTTTTAATTTTTAGAACTAGCTAAAACCAGATAAAAAGTAAATTAAAAGTAAATTAAAAGTAAATTAAAGTAAGTAAAATAAAAATAAATTAAAGTAAAGTAAAAGTAGATTAAAAGTAATCGACATTGATAGAAATAAATATTAAGTCTGTATATGTACATATATACTTTACTTTAACGACTAAATATAAATAAAAAAAGACATTTATTATATTAATTTGACATAATTAAATTTATGCATCGTGTAAAAAATACGCGCGTAAAAAAATCTCCGATTATTTCTATCTTTCTATTTTTATATTAACGTCTCAAGATCGCTGTTTAAACTGAAATTTTTGCGTTTAATTTTGCGATGCAATTTGTTCGCAAATAATATTTGATTCCCGTTGATATATACGCAGTTCTCATTTATAAATTTTACGATTTTTTTTTATATCATTAGCTGAAAGATTAGATATTATACATTTAGTGGGTGGAACTCTCGTTTCTTTTCTACGGAAAATGGGCATCAGCACCGATCGTGAATCCATCGATTCGTGCCGATGTTCATGTCATGCAATACACCGAATATATATAACATATATATATCAATATTAAAATATGTAACGTAAAATATTGAATATATATATATATATATATATATTAGTTGTTAATATTAAAAATCTGTATATGTAACGTAAACTCTAGATTTTCAGTACTGGTAGTATATATCAAAAAATTGCGTCAGAAAGTTGCATCAGAAAGGTCGCGGCGCGCGCTGCGGACCTAAAATTTTTACAAATTTCTAACGAAACCAATCGTCTTTTGTGTTTGCATTTAATAAATATTTTTATTGCAAATCCAAGTGTGTAAATCTGTAGTCACTTTTTACGCATTTATACGCGTGTTATATTTTTACACATTTTATCTGTGTTTTACACAGTTAAATGCGTATTTTTTACACGCTTGCACATATTACTGTAAAATTAAGCGTGTAAAAATACGCATTTAACTATGTAAAACACAGATAAAATGTGTAAAAGTATAACACGTGTATAAATGCGTAAAAAGTGACTACAGATTTACACACTTGGATTTGGAGTGTTCTGACATATATTCACGATTTTGTACTTACTAATTAATTCGGCTTATCGATTACTTATACCGGCC